ATAACAGGTAACAGGTAAAAAAAAGGGTAAACAAAGGTCTGTTATTTTATGTAAAAGAAAATTTTTTTTTAATTTCAGGTTGTTTTATAAGTTAAGATTTTATTTTATTTTATTTCAGTTTGAAATAAGTAGCCAGATGGAAAAAAATATACATTGTTTTTTTAGAATTTATAAAATCATTGAAATGTTTATTAATAATGGAGAAAAGTTAAACAGTCAAACAATGTCTTGTAGGCTAAAACCGGTTTTGTACCTTCTATGTAGAATTCCACCAAACTCAAGATGCAAAGGACGACGACCTTGAACCTGAACAAACCACTTTCACTGGACAACACTTGACTTGCACTCCAACACTGGAGTAATTATATTTTATTTTTAATTTTGTAATTTTGAAACACACTTTGACACACACACAAAACTACACTTGACTGGACAAAACATTTCACTTGTCAAGGTGTGAAATCACTGATCACATGACTTGCATTTTGGGTTGAGAAAGGAATATGGAATTTTATTGTTTGCAAAAATAGTTTTTCACAAAGGATTTTGAATTTGTCTGAAAGTAAAATAATGAGTAAATCAATGTCGCAAATGATTAATAGGCTGGTTACTAATTTGTTAATTGATATTTTAAGTGTTTAACGATTTTGTATACTTGTTTTATGTAATGTACGAGATTGGTGGAAAGACAGTTCAACGCAGGCCCTGCTTGCAATACACAAACCAGGGACACACTGACTGACATGAAATTGGGACGAGGGCTCCTGTCTTACACGGAATGTACCGGAGAGGTCTGCCTGTCGTCTGCACCATAGTGTCACACTCCTAGCTGTCTTACCGCGCGTTACCACCAGACACTATCGCATTGCCTTTTATCTCTTATTGTAACCTTTGTTGTTGATTCTAAATGATTTCATTTGTAGATCAAATAATTTGTTTATTTATGTAACAAAAAAGTTAAGTGAGGGAAATTTGTAGCATTTTATATTTGGTATTTTTTGTTACTCTTTAAAACAAATTAAAGTCAGTATTTTCCTTTTTTTTAGCTCTGCTCAGTCATGAAAGATTCAAACATGTTAGTTCAATTTTGTCAGTTAAAACAGAAATTTAAATATTTGCAAGATCCTGTAAGAAAAAGAGAAGACAATTTGATTGGCCAGGGTAACTCAGTGATTGTTTGAAGCACATGGTCTTCAGCCAATCACAGGGTTACCTTGGTCAGACAAAACTTAATCACCCTTCTTGTCCGGCCTCAGTTGTGCAAAACCAGTTGATAAGTAAAGTTTAGTTTGTTTGTTCTTTTGGTCAGTTACCCCACGTTTTGGGTAAGTCTCTTAAAAATTTTAAATTTAGTTAGTTTTATTTAGATATATAAACAGATGTCCTCTCTTTTTCAGATTTTGATTAAAACTCAAATCACAAAGTTTCTAATTAATTTTATTTCTTTTAGGGCTCATGATTAAGAAGCAACAAAAAAAAATTTTAATAAAGTCAAGATTTGTTTAAGTATAGTATATCAAGAAGGAATTTTTAAAAAGATTAACACTTAATATAATTTTGATGAGCAGAGCTTATTTACAAGAATTTAAGTTGAATGTTATTATGAAAAAAAATGAAGATTTTATAATAAAAGTTTTGTTCGATCATTTTCAAGAGGATATTATCTTTACCTGCTTTTGGCATTTAAACAAATTTTACAAGTCAAGACATTAAAATATATTAATACATAAACTAGATCATGTGGGCCTAGTACGCTACAACTGTGCCTACATTGCTGCTGCTGCTGCCTCTGTCGGTGCAACGGAGCTTGAAGGTAACAACGATCCATCACGATCAAAGGTCAGTGCGACACTGAGCTATGTGGTGGGGCAGTCGTGAATTTCTGTGTTGGTTCTTGTATTTAACCGCTGAAATCCACAGACACGTTGCGATGTCGGTCCACTTCGATTACATTGTCCATTTCGGCGTACACTATACAGTTGATGGAGGAGGCAAACGCTTCTTTGAATTGCAGTTCGATGCGCAAATTGCCGTTTCGTACCAGATTCCAGTGACTCGATTCGCCGGCCGACATGTCCGGCGTCAGGTCGAACGCCATCAGACAGTAGCCGTTCGGATAAGCCGATCTGCCGATCTCGTTGCCCTTGTCGGCGAACTGTATACCGGTGCCGGTGAACAGCGTGTGATAGGCGAGTGCGTAGAGTTTCGAGTCTCCCGTGAAGGCCGGTGTCAACGCCTTGCATGGCACTTGTTCACCGTCGATGTACAGAGCGAAATAGTTCAAATTGAAGTGTTGAAAATTAAATGGGTTTTTCTTGAAATCACCGTTGAACGCCACATTGTCCACCAATCCCACGATTATGCGTTTCGGCAACTGACCGAGAAACACACTGTCCAATGTCTTGCCCAGAATACCACTCGGTAGCGTGATGGATTTCACGTCCACACGTGTGATTGGATACTTGGCCGTACCACTTTCCAGCGTCTTGCTGTGCGCCACCAACACGCCGGGATTGATCTTACAACGACGCACAAACAGATTGGCCTCTCGAATGTGCACCTTGTAGTTCGTTGCTGTTTTCGACATTATGGCAAATGAGTTTCTCGACCTGACGAGACGCAATCGCATTTCCACACCATTCAACATAAACTTGGCTTGATTGCACAAATCTAGATGTAAATTTCCCACCATATCGATGTACGTACTTTTCTTTACGAAGTCGCGACGTTTCACTAGTCCTGCGTTGTTTGCCTCGCAATCGTCCATTTTGTCGGCTATGTCTTCGTAGAACATTGTGCTGGTGAGATGTGACTTTTTTGCGCTACCGCCGTAGTTCAGTAGATTTTCCAAATAGGCACGATAAGCGTAAGTGTTGTTTTGTGGTGACACCAGTTTGTGATTGATGTACAGATCCACTTGACTAAACAGCGAGTGAAGCCAATTGTTAACCGGTCCCATCTCTTCGACTAACGCCTCTTCCACTTTTGTGCCATCATCTTTCACTATTGTCGCTTCGATGTGCAACAGAGATTGCGTCAAGTCCGTGTATTCTTCACCGTTAGCCGGTATGACAAACTCTATCGGCGAATCGTCTGTTAAAGACGAGATCGGCTTGTACTGAATCCACTTGCCGTTCTCTATACTAGTCTGAGTAGGCGGTAACGAGAATAAATCCAATTCGGTTTTAACGCATTCACACGATTTCTGATGAATGAATGACATTTTTTGTTCTTCTTGTTGTTGTAGGAAAATATCGTCTAATTAAATATATCGTCTATCGGCGGTATTCCACCTGCTACTCTTCTTTTATTAGATCGATTCCTCCTGTTTCTACTCTTCCTATTTACGCTATTAACTTTGCTGCTGCTGGCGCCAGAACGTCGAGGTCGTCTTTTTGTTGTAGTTTTACGCTTTTTCTGTCCCTTATTGATAACAGATCTTTTCATACTCTTCCTTCTCCTCCTTCTCTGTTTTGTAGTGGCAGCGGTGGACGTCCGTACTCTGAGAAGTGTCGCTAACGACTGCGGTGTGACGCGATGGGCACGTCTTTTCTTATATGTGACGGCACGACCACCTCCACTCAATACGCGTTCCAGTTTGTCATCGGCTCTGCGTTTCAATGAGCCGGTGAATTCTTTGAGGCGTGCAGCGGCCGCGTACCTAGGATGTTGTGTACCACCAGCGGACACTATGTCGCCGAGGAAACCGACACCTGAACGCAAAGCCTCTTTGCCCATGGCGGTTGCACCAGACTTTAGTAACGGCACTACAGACCGCATGAGTCCACTGAGGAAACTGCCGATGCCATGACCGCGCTGGTACGGTGCACCTCTGTACACGGACGATACACCGTTACCCGACTGTTGTAACTGTCGCCGATAGTAGGCCAAATACGGATCGTTCGTATTCATCGTTGTTGTTGCTGCTGTTGCTGCTGTTGCTACTACTGTTGCTGCCACTGATGTTTATGCTGTTGCTGTCGTCTTCGTTGATGTTGTCGCCGTCGTATTCGCCGTCGTATTCGCCGTCGTATTCGCCGTCGTATTCGCCGTCGTATTCGCCGTCGTAATCGCCGTCGTATTCGCCGTCGTATTCGCCGTCGTCGTTTGTTTTCGCTGTCGTCGTCGTTTTCGCTGTCGACGCCGTTTACGTTGCTGCTGCTCGTATATTTATGCCAGCGTGAGCGATCTGCGCAGGTGTAGTTTCATGCACGTAGTCCCAAAGTGGAATGGCAGATGATCGCCTGTGCTGCCCCTTAAGTCAATTTCCACGTTCTCAAATGTGCTCTTGATGACGGGCACGTAATGCGGATCGGTGAAATGCACGGTCTTGTGCGCGCCGTACATGTAGTTTGTCGTATCGATGTTGACGATCTTTAATAACGGTGCCACCGTGTCACCCACCAACTGAGGCTCCACCAAATCACAATACACATACATGTCGCCCGGCAGTCCGGCTTGTATGTTGGCCGGCAGTTTGGCTTTCTTGTTGGTCTTCATGTCCGTCTCGACAGGATCGAACCCTAACTGCAGCGCGAGACCGGTGCTCAATTCCATTTGTACTACGTGACTGCGAATCGCTATTTCCACCACTTTGGTGTTTTCATCGTACATGAAAGTGGCGTAAAACCTCAAGCGTTCCATGGCGTTCAACACTTGTATCAACTCGGTGATATCGCTATAGTTGCCAGGCTCCACTTTGAGAATGTCCACTTTGACTTTATTGGTTTTGTCAGCACCACCAATGGCTATAGCACTGCGATCTTCATGGTAGATAAATATCTTCGCATCATCGCTCACCGTCAGAAATGAACAGGGGTAATGCGCTTCAACTAGTGCCACTTCCCATTCACCATCCGTCAGATGTATAGACGTAGGTAGTTGAGTTATATAATCAGCCACTGTGTTGTTCGGGTAGTAATTCATTGAACTGTTACTGGGCAAGGTCAAATAGAACTGATTATGTTTACTCATTGTCACTGATACGCGGTTGTTGTCCTTTATAATTTTTTCACTTCTGACGCTGGTATCCAAGAGTTGAACTCGTCACCGTAACCTTTCCACTTGACGAGATAATGCTTACTGCGGCCACTGCCTTTAGTGTCCAATATTTTATCGATTTCGTACAGTCGGTCTGGTGGCAAGGTGACTTTTTGCAATTCTTCTTCGTAGAAACGACCAATCAACGGTGATCCGTTCAAATCGTGCAACACGTACAACGGTAACGGATGATGACCGTACTCGCGGTCCACCACGAACACTTCTTTACTCCAGTTCGTCTCGTATCCTTTGGCAAAAATATTTTTTTCCTTTGCAATACGTACCGTATCGCCCGCCCCAAATTTTGCCTTTCTACGCTTAGGTAATTTAGTCTTGATGCCGCTGCCACTACTGTACATGTGTCGCCACACTCGATATACGAGTTTCTTACCTTCTTTTTTCACATCAATCGGACGTACACCTCTGCCGTCAGCAGTAGTACCCAGACTGCTGTGCGCACTGTGATTGTAGGCGTTCACCAGTTGTTGTAGCACATCGATGTAACGGTACGTGTTTTTATACGTAAGATAACGCCACATGCGTGATTTCAAAGTGCGGTTCACACGTTCCACGACCGCCGCTTTCACGTCAGGGTTCTGTGTTGTAACATATCTAACGTCGTATTTTCTGAACAACTGTTTTACCTTGACGCCGGTGAACTCAGTTCCCTTGTCCGTCTGTAGACAGCGCGGTACCGTGACAGAGGGTTTTTTAAATATTTTCTCGAATGCGTCGGCCACTTCTTTGCCGCTTTTTGTTTTCAACGCTATCACGTAAAGTCGTTTACTGAACACATCTATCACTGTCAGCAGATAGTTGACTCCATCGTTGAACGAGCTCAGACCGCGCATATCATTCAAATCCGCTTGCCACAGTTCGTCAGGACCGAATACCACGTAACGGTTGCGGGCGAATCGTTGACGCACCGGTCTGTGCAACGTGTAAGTGTCTTGTGTCCGTAACCAGTCCAGCACTGTTTGCCGTTTTGTCCTCTTCTTCTTCTTCTTAACTTTCCCCTCCTTCTCGCGTATCGCATGTAATAGACGTGTGACACCACCGTATGATGCAGGATCTTCGGGATTGTAGTACACTCGTTTCATGATTTATCCGCACTACGGCGAAAACGGTTCCCACCTGTCCAACGGCGATTGTAATTGATCTCTATCAAGCTGACGTTGTCTTCGATGAGCCGCCAACGAGGGTAATGGTGACGTAGGGGATAACGTACGCTGCTGATTGTAAGCCGAACGTAAACGATCGCGCATAGGTGTTCTCGGAGTCGATGATGTGATCGAACTACTCGCCACAGCCGAAGTTGCGTCACCACGTAACGATCTGTATCCCGCACCCAGATACTGTAATGCTGTAGAATTGTTGATATACTCCTTGGGCACATTCATTTCACGTAACGCGTTCATGACTTCGTACCACCCGGCGGGCATGTAATCCACCATACGTACTCTCACTATGCAGTGTAATATGTCCACGATATTCGAATCGGGAATTTTTTCATTTCGCACATACACCGCAAAGTCCTTATCCCAATTTATCACACTACCTTCGCGGACGATAAATCGTAACAGATTACGCACGTCCGGCTTGTACGATTTGGAAAACGTGTCCACAATCTCCTCCATTGTACCGGGTGGTGGCGGCGCTGTTGATGCTTGCAGTAATGATGATGATGATGACGATGCTGTCTCCATGATTGGTATATTGATCGGTTGTCTATTGACGGAGGCAAAATGTAAAAATCTTTGCAACACCTGTTGATACTGTTTCCATTTTTCATAATCGCTCAAAGTGTTATCCATCAATATACGATGCATTTCGTTATCGATACTATCACCGCTGTCACCACCGAATCGACGTGACGATGATGACGCTTTCCTATTATCCATGTTGTTGGTGGTATTGATATCGCTATTTTTGAACCGTTCGATTAACTCTTGCGGAACAACAACCATTTTCTTCGCGTACTCCATCATTGTGTTATTACTGAATTATTACGTAATGGATTTATGAAGTACGGCTTGAAGTACGGTGCTCAACAGTATTGGTAGTAGGAATCCACCTCCTTTTTGTACTAGATACTTGCGTTTCTTGGCTCAACTCTCACCTCGTTTCACCAATCGCCTGAGTGTCAATTTATACTTTTTCAATTGTCTTTTGCGTTTATCGGACACCACTACGTTACCACGCAACAGGTTGTATGCACACTCGCACACTGATCGTATACGACTGAGGTCACACACTTTTAACAGCGCTTTACGTTCCTTCGGTGTAGCGTGCACCAGTGCCGTCAGCAGAGCTGCGTCTTTCCTCACACACTGCGACATGACGACTGATACTGATCCGCTATAGACGTTTTCTATTTATTGTGACCGCTGACATTGCTTGTTTTCGGCAGGTACACAGAATTAATCGGATCGTCCGGAAAGATAGTCGAACGAATGCGCATCTCATCCGGTGTGGACTGTTTCAAGTCTATTAATAGATACGCATGCGGATCACGTGTAGCATCCGCATATGCTTCTTCTATAAATTTTGTACTATCCGGATAAATTTGACGGGCTAAATGTTTTATCTGAGCCCGATCTCTGGGGTTTTTAAAACATACTATGTAATGAGCATTCAATGAGATGTCTCTCTGACCTCGGCCCTGATGAAATAGATTCTGCGTTATGAAGAAAACACTCAAGTTCCTATGGTGTGAGCCTTTTGTAAATAAATCCACTACACTGTCGTTTGTTTCACGCATCATGTCGTCCACTATGATCAAATTAGGTACACTACCATCGAAATCGTTCATATCTGGCAGAGAGTTTTTATACTGGACAATACTGCCTCTGCCACTGTTACTGCTGTTCTGCTGCACATTATCATTTGAGTGAGGATGATGCCAATATATGTTAGCAAAATCTGTATCACATATTTCATTAGCATGGTCTATAAAACGCATGACAAACTGTGATTTTCCAGACCCCGAAGGGCCGGCTACTAAGGCCGAAAATGGATGCTTCCACCTCAAGTCCATCTCACCTACTGACTGACTACACTGACAACACTACAAACTAATTTATAACAATAGGGAATAAGGAGTGTAAATAAAAGACTAATTGATTATGCTCTCAACGTGACTATACGTATTGACTTACAAAACCTATCAAAGTTACAATATCATTTTAAGAAAATTACAATTTTCATTAGATTTGAGGTTAATAAAAATAAAAAAAAGTTTATGTACATGAATGTAGTTTTTGTAAAAATTAAATTTAAATTTGTTTCAAACAAACTCCAACGGAGTATATTTACTGCCAGGTGGAGCGCTTCTTCTGACGAGGTTAAGTCTATCTTCGAATCCCCTGTTGTACTGGTCAATGCGTTGATCTGTGATCGCCTCGTTGTAGCGTCGTGGTAGTCAGACACGCATGTAATGTTCATCGCCGACTATTCCCTTCAGCACGGCCATGACAGTCTCTCCGTACGGCGTGGTCACTCGTTCGAATTTCACAATACGATATGAGCACTCTTCACGGAGATCGACGATCTTCGTGTACGGCGTGTTTACTTGCACGGTGTTGAGTTCATTTTTCAAGTTCATCACACCACTGTTGCTACCTCCACTACCGTTGACACTGACTGACTCGCATTTCGACATAATAAATGTGTTATTAAAAAAGTTAAAGTCAAGCGAAACTGTACACACCTTCGATCCACACAGTGGTTGGACGAGGAATGAATTGTTGCAGCAGCGACAGCGCAGTGGTGGAGAGAAGAATGCAGGTGTGTCGCAATATTTCTCAGAATCCACCCCTGTAGAAGTTTCTAGCACAAACCGGTTTTTTGTAGTTGTTTCTTTTTGTTTCGCCCCCTCGACTGCAGCTGCGCGTCAACACGTGGCTTCTTGGAATTATCGCTATTGTTAACATTATTTTTTGTCTCATCCGATTGTATCATAGTCACTGGCGCCACAGAACGTTTCTTCCTTTGTTTAATTCTTCCACCGTTTTCGATTGCGCAATCAATTGGTCTACGCCATGCGGGTAGTGGCATCATCGACTGTATCACACCGTGTATTTTTGGAACTCCCGTCAAACGATCAACCCATAAATTTTCTAATTGTGTCAGTAAATTATTCACACTGTTGTATATTTTATCTCCTTTCTTTTCATTCAAATATATGCCGGAACTGTGTGTTTGCACTCCTTCGTCAAATAATTGTAATTTCAATAAAACTCGACCTCGATTAGCGGGATTCTGTACGGTGTATTGAAAATCTTCGTCTATCCACATTATAACCGGCGAATCATTTGTAGATTTGAATATCCATCCTGCATGTTGTGCGTCTTGTTCAGGTTCTTTTTTTTAGTTTCGCTGCCACTATCGATTTGTACATATTTCACATCACTAGTCGTCTTCACAGGTTTCTTGATAATTTTCTTTTTCTCATTTTGTTGCAGCTGATGCTCCTCCTCTGCATGATTCATAGGCAAAGTACTAATTGTGTTATCTTCCATCGCATGTATCTCTTCCATAATCAAACGAATAGTTTCTTCCGCATCGGCAATACTCGTAGACATAATATTAATAAACACAAACCGCGCACGTAACGACTGTACTCACTGCACGCGCAGAACTAAACTGAATTGTCGGATGTATTGTGATATTGACAGCGCCACTAGCGTGTTGCTGCGGATAAATCAACAACTACTCTGATGTTAGTAATCACAAGATGATGTAATTACGAGCTGATATTACCACCTAGCTACGTGGATGATGTTTCTTCGCTATTAGAAGTATGACCACCGAAGAATGCCTCATTTAAAAACACTTTTCTCGCTTTCTGTAACACACTATTAATCAATAGCAAACGTCGCATGTCTTTACGTTTACGGCCAACACAAGCTTTATTCAGTGATAGATTAATCATATCTCTAGCACTGATCTCCATCGCGAAGTAGATACTGATGTAGACGGTTTGCAAGCTAGTAACAGACTTATAAGCGCTGTCAGGCTTCCACCATAGAGACCTGGATGGTTCTAGGAAGTCGATAATAAAGCTGTTGCTTTGTCAACAAACACGTTGCCACCGACACACGACGCCTAGCCTAATATACCTCAAACAAAGAGATTGCGCCTTGTAAAAGCTGTTAGTACACAACTAATGTAACTATTAATCATCCGTAATTGGCAGTTCTGAGAATCCAAGCCAGACTTTGTCGCCGCCACACCGACGCCTAGTCTAATAAACCTCAAACAAAACGACCGCATCTCGTAAAAGCTTTTAGAAACTCAACTAATGGATCTGTCACTCACTCGTAAGTGGTTTCCTTTGTATTCTAGGATCAAAGGGAGCGCCACCACCGTTAATTCTTTTCCTTTGTATTGAAGGATCAAAGGGACAGCCGCCAGCACCTCGCTCCGTGGGTGGTCTGGCACATCCTAAGAGGTGTTGGATAGGTAAGTTGGGGGGACAGGGGGATGTGCAAGGGGGGGGGAGGTGTAGGGGGAGGGGGATGTGCAGGGGGAGGGGGAGGTGCAAGGGGGGGGAGGTGCAAGGGGAGGGGGAGGTGCAAGGGGAGGGGGAGGTGCAAGGGGAGGGGGATGTGCAAGGGGAGGGGGAGGTGCAAGGGGAGGGGGAGGTGCAGGGGGGGGAGGTGCAAAGGGGGGGAGGTGCAGGGGGAGGGGGAGGTGAAAAGGGGGGGGAGGTGCAAGGGGGGGGGAGGTGCAAGGGTGGGGGGAGCAGGAGGCGGGTGGTGGAGGTGGAGGCGGTGGCGTTGCTCCCCTGCTCCCCTCTTTAACTTCTTCAATACCTACTACTATAGTCCAAATATTACACAATTTTTCTCAATGGGTCGACATAAAAATATTAACTGTTTTTACTTGTGTCAATCTTACAGCAAAGTACACAAACATTTACGTGATAATGTAAATTTCCTAATATTATTTAAACAAGATGATTTAAATTTAAAACATGTATATCACAATCATGTTGGTAATGACTTTTCATTTGACCAATTTAAAAATCTCTGTCATCAATGTTGGGATAAAACTAAATACGGCTTTCTCGTAACAGACAAAGAAAGGCCAAAGAATA